ATTTTCAGCAACTGGTTTAAATAATTGCTTGTAGATTTGCAATGGAACTGCACTGTAAAAGCAAACACAGGTATTATAAAAGTCTGTGAAAAGAGTTCTTGAATCTCCACTTGACATTAAATGAAAGTGTGGCCTTCCCTTGGCTTTTGTTCCTGGGTCACAGAGGTAGGTGTCGCAGATTTCTTGCTTAATGCAGTTCAAGGTTTAGCTGCCCTTGCTGTCCCCTTTAATTGCCTGTTCTGATGGCATCTGCTGGCAGGCAAATCTCATTCTTGCTTGAAAAATTCAGTAGCATTGTTCCATGTGTGTTTTGGAAGCAGAAATCATTAGTCTAGCTGTGGCAAGAGGCATAGTAACAATATAATATTTTGACTTAACTGGCTTCTTCCAGTTGGAACAGCCACCAGGATAGGATGTTCAGTTAATTTCCCTATCCTTTTAAAAAAATTCTTCCTATGATGACATTGCAAACTCTAGTGGACCTTGATCTGCCCTATTGCAACTATTCTTGCCCTAGTCTATAAACTTTCATTTTTATGTTACAGTCTTCATTGTGATCTTGTTATATGTAGCAGAGCAGTCTAAGCAGTGTACCACTGAACTGTTTTTTGCCTGTCTTTGACCTTTGCAGGAGACAAATGGGGAATAACATATTTTTAGTTGTGAATAGAAGTTTACGGCTACAGAAGCAACAGTTTTCAGCTGATAGACTTTTTGTTTGAAGTAATACTTTCTAGTGTGGACAGCTTAATTATTCAGTGTTAAATCTGGATATTATCACCAATAATTTTCCCAAAATAATTGAAAATTTAAAAAAAGGTGAATAAAAAGAAGAAACCAGTCAGTATGGCAAGGACCTTGTTAAGGCAAGATTTCTGCCCCTTCCCCCCACCCCAATTTTAAACCTATATCACATCTTTGAACTGTGAGAGGTCTCTCTGCCAATTTTCATATGTCTTCCTGAATTAAGACTGTAATTATTCTTATTCTGGACTATTAAATGACAATGAAAGGTGTCACAGATATAATTGCTATGGAAATTAGTTTTTTCCTTGGTGCATTTTTATTTTTGAGGTAAATATCTATGAGGTAGGATCACCTCTAAGGCTTGCTGAAGGTACAGGTCCTATTTCTGCCAAGAATTCAGGCTTTTCAGTCTTTACATGTGATTTTCCTAAAATGCAAAATCCATTCAGCAGGGCAGCTTGTTAGAACAACCCCAATATGTAAAGGCTATATGGCCTTTACATATTACAACTAATTTTCTGTTATGATAGTGTTCTTTTGATCCTACGGTCCTGGTTTTCTTTTTAAGCTTACCAAGAGAGCTGTAATACTTGATCAGTAGTTGTGGCCAGTTTGCTGATAGCTAATAAATGAGATATTCTATGTGATACTGCTGAACTCTTCAACTACCTAAATTCTTCAGTCCTGTAAGCTGTTCCTGGAGGAACTGTGGTTCTGAGCTAGGTTCTTCCTGCTTTGTCAGGAAGCAGCAGAATGGGGAGACTGCTCTCAGCATTAGTGTGAGCTAAGGGTGACCACAACAAGTATGGATCTATGTGCTCACTGAGCAGTGGTGCAAGAAGATCAGAAGAAGTTTAGTGCCAGAAGAACAGGCTTGGGCAACAGTCCAGTGATTGTCAGAAAAGTTTGTTGTGAGGAGAGAGGCTTGAGGACAAGTCAGGATTTGAGTTTGATGGATCGGCATCAGCGAGATACCCAGCCAAGTACAGACTTACCTACAGCACAGCTGGTGCAGGAGCCTGAGCAAGAGGCCCTTGATGAGCTTCTACACAAGTCACTCAGCTGCATTTTGTCAGAATTGGTCTTAAGCAGAGATGCCTTAACTCCTAGGATTGGTGAAAGATGTTGTGGAGCCTATTGATAAGCTCAGGGCCCTGACATTGGTATCCTGGGAAAGTTTTCACTATTTATGCTTGGAGCAAAGCTGTAAGTTATGACTTTCAGGACTGATTACATACACTCACACCTGTACGAAAAAGGAGCAATGATGATAACTGATTTCTGTATGCTAGAAATGTTGGTGTATCTTTTCTTTCTAATGGGTGCTGTTCAAAACACTGCTGATAGAGCCCAGAGAGGCTCTAATTGATGAAGGCTGGAACTTTGAAGTAGCAGGCAACTTTGAGCAGTTGCAAGACTTAATAACTCTCAGAGCTACCCTTGCATATGTTGTAAAAAATAAGAAATTGAATTTGTATTATTGTAAGCTAGGATGTTCTCTAAAGGACACATCCTTTTGTGGCAGTAGTGACTGTTTCTCCATCAGTCAGGCCTTTCCTGTAGGCATGGTGAATGTGATTAGTTTCTGCAGCAAAATGGAGTTTGATCCTTTTGGTTTTTGTTGCTGTTAATGTGCTTTTTTTTTTTATTTTTTGAAGGAGGTCATTAGATAACTGAAAGCATAAGACCCCTCTGTCTTTGAGGAGAAATGCTTTCTACATTTTCAGGTAGTTTAAAAGACAAAAAAATTCTTAAGCTCAAGTATTTGCAAGATGTGCATGTTCAGTGAGCATTCACCTGTAGGTAATCCAAGTTCAGTTGTTTTTTAACAATATCCTTTTTTGTCTTACATCTCATAACATGGAAGTGTTAATAATGTGGCTTTTAGAATTTGAATTTGTGTTATACAGTTGAATGAAATGTAAATTTGGAGGGTGTACAAAGTAAGACTTGGCTGTGGTTTCAAAATGAATGTTGAAATACAGCTTACAGTGGCATTTTGTGACAGAATCACAAGAGTGGAAGGGAGTGCTGGAAGTCATCTTGCCCCATTCTCTGCACAAATAGAGTCACCTAGAGCTGGTTGCCCAGAAGAGGCCTTTTGAACATCTCCAAGGAAGGATACTCCACAACCTTCATGGCCAGCCTGTGAGACACTGCTCAGTCACAGTAAAAAAAGTGTTTCCTCCTCTGGTCCTGTCACTGGGCACCACTGAAAAGAGCATTGCTTCCTCTGTTTTTTGCATGCTTTCTTTAGGCATTTTTGTACATTGATGAAATCTCCCTGAACTGTCAGGTTTGCCTCTTCAGGTGAAACAGTCCCAGCTTTATCAGCCTTTTCTCATAGGTTGCCTTAGTCATATTTATGGTTCTTTGCTGGATGCTCTCTGCTATATCCATGTCTCTCATGTACCGAGGAGACCAGAAAATGACAGAAAATGAAACTGTTACTGGAGATAACATTCTTTGAAAATTGCTGTAAACCCACGTGTAGTGCATGACAGCAGGAACTATTAGTGACTTCCTGGAAGAGGCATATTTAACAGTGACAGATTTACCTATGTGTGCCTAAAGCAACTTCATACTCTAAAACCTCAGTTTTAGTAACAGCTAGATGTAATTGATGAAGCTTGTAACTTAATAAACAGCATAAACAAAGGTTTCTAACAAAGAAGTATCTGGATTTTGACTTCAGCTGTTTTGAAGTCAGAACATTCTACAGCGTCTTATGAAGGTGAATCTGTGTCAATCTATAGCTGAGGTCAGAGTGCTTTCCTTTCAGACAGTTGTCTTGATATCTCACTTTGGCTGCATTATCTTTACTCTTTGGAGAGGTAGCAAGTGAAAAGAGCAGTTTCTTTCTGTGTTTTCCACTCCCCTTCCTTTTCCTTTTCACCCTTCTTCCTCCCTCCCTCCCTCCTACCCTCCCAGCTGAAGGAAAAAAGAACAGAGATTGAATAGGTTTAGATTCTCTGATGGAGGCTAGGAATTTCTGACATTTTTGTTTGTTTGTGCTTTCTATCACACTATATTTCTTGCAGATAACACGTACTAGAAAAGATTATCAAACAGAAACAATAGTTGTGTCAAAAGAAAGTGGAATCATGAAAAGCTCATTATTATATGGTTTTGTCTCAGAAGTTAATATTTAAAGTTAATACTTAAACAAAATGAGGCCTTTTAACTATTCTGAGCTCAGAATTTTACCCCAAACAACCAGTCACAGTATATGTATTTTAAGAAATACAGTTTAATAATATGCTGCTGGACTGTTTCATTTTTATGCCTTAGGGTAGCACAGAGCACTATTTCTACTTTTAGAAGCTTCTTCTCATTAGTGTAGTCTCTTATATAGCACCTGTTTTAAACTCCAAACCTGAATCTACAAATGTAAAACCTGACTTTTGAAATATTTGCTTTTTTGAACACTCTTCTTTAAAGGACCTATCAGGATCTCTCCCCAAAATGCTAGAAGCATGAAGGATAAGGGAGGAACAATGTTGCATGGCCCAAACACATGTGCTTTCGTCATTAGCAAGGTACAGCATGACCTCATGTTGACCTCAAAGGTAAATGGCTACCAGGGAACAATTATACATGCCTGTGAAAGCAGCTTAGTTTTGAACAAGAGAATAATTCAGTGTATAGAATAAAATTAAATTTACAACACTGTCTACCTTTCCCCTTCTCTGTCTTGTCTCTCTCCAAGTCTCTTCTTGAGAGAATGTTGTTTCTTATATATGTGTTTGTTGCGAGAGAAAACAACTTTTCTAGAGGTCATAATGAATTCCTAAATATGGGGAACTCAAAGGATCTTGTATCCAATTTAGGCAAATTGTACATCTTACAAGTAATTCCCTTTTTAATTACAAGTTTCATTTGTTATCTAGAGTATTGGTATTGCAGCCTTCAAAATGTATATCTGTGTTAGTTGGGGAATCTTGCCAAGTTCTGAAACGTGTAGATCATTTAGACTTATGGGAGAGTTTTCTAAATATTAGTAGATTAATTTTTGTGTGCTTATCTTAGACTGCAACACAAACTTATGACATTTTATTTTTTCATAGAAGACTAAATATTCTGTAGCATTATGTGATACGTCACTACAAATGATGGAATGATGGAATATTATTTAGCTAGCAGTTCTGAGCTATTTGGAGAAGAATTGCTGCCAGCATCTCGGAACTGTTAGCCATATCTATCCCATATTATTTGTATAATATAATTGTTTGATGTAATTCTTTTTTTCCTAGAATGAGAGAGCATATTCCTTCTGTGGAACAATAGAATATATGGCTCCAGATATTGTAAGAGGGGGAGACACAGGACATGATAAGGTATGTTCTAAGTTTATTACTGAAAATAAACTAATTCTTCAGTCAACATATTGCTCATCCTGAGGGGTTTTTGTAAAATATGACGTTATTTATGTATGTGTTATTTAAGGTTGTCCTAAGATAGATTGTTTCCTGTGTCTTCAATTGTGTGTTGATGTATTTTCCTCTTCTGATCTGAAGTAAAAGGCATATTTATAAAGATATTGAGGCTTATTTGTGTTCTGTTCAAAATTTGTTCTAAATATGCTGTGGGACAATAGACTTAGTTAACGCTTTTTTGCCTTTGCATAAAAAACTAGTTCAGAGTGGAAAATGGTTTGTGGCTAATTCTGATATACATTTTAAACTGGATATTACAGAAATCTGTTGTATTTATTGAGGTATGGGATAGGTCACTAATGTTATAAGTATTCTCATATTGTAAAATTGTGTGACTTGTGACTCAAGTTTTATTGCACAATAAAGTGTCAGTAAGTGATAGAAAAGATCAAGACTGCAATAATTAACAGATGATTTTTGAAACAAAAAAACCTACTCTCTAAAATAATTCTGCAGTATTCCTAGGTAACTTATTCTGATTGCTCACTATAATGGGAAGTTTTGGAGACTTTGATCTCTGTGGTTTTTTGCTGTAGACAGAGTTGAGTTGTCTTTGTTGTGGATCATGGAATGTTGTTGATTGTGGTTCCTTTTATAGCAGCCCTGTGTAAGAACTGGAAGAGTCTGACTTTTGCCTGAGAAAGTTCTTGTTTTTCCTTCTCTGTGGATTCTGTGTCTCTTTTGGTCTGAATTTACCTTCAGTTAGGGAGCACTGTAGTGGGCACAGCTGGGATCTGGCAGTTTGAAGTAGAGCAAAATAACCTGTCTGATTATTCTACTACACATAAAATAGAGTGTGCTTTTTCTTTTCACTTAGTCATTGTCTCACACCTACCTTGAATTCCACTATAACCTCTTTATCTTTTTCTACTGTACTGCTTGCCCAGTTGCTATTAAAAATGGAATTTAAAAAACTTACAAATTGAAACTCTTTCCTGCACTCTCTTAGTTTAGTCATGCCACCTCCAGAGCATCTCTCCAATTTCTCAGTCACCTTGAATTATGATTCTGGCTTCTCAGAGCTTAAAAATTCAGTCTTGTTGCTGACTTAAAGAGGAAACTCTGTTCTGTTATCTTTGGTTCTGTCTGATACTTTCATCAGATGTCGTGCAGAGTCATACAGTATTCTATAAGGAGTAGCTTCTCTGTTTGATGGCAACTGTTTGCTGATCAACGGGGAGATTTTGCAGTTATGTGTGTTATGTATGTTATGTTAGTTGTTTACACCACACATTCACTACCTTACCGTTGGCAATGTCATGTAAGGTAATTTTAGAAGATTTTTAGTGCATTTCATACCTACTGCATATCTAACAACTCAAAGACCTTAAAAAAAAGAAAACGAGATTGCTTTAGTATGCTGTGCTCTCATTAATCAATATTTATCATCTATAATCTCTTCAAGACGATTGCAGTGTTTGTCATAAGGACTTGCTCTAGTATTTCAGTATTTATTTTTTTTAAGTTGGATTTCTGATTCTGCAGATCCTCCTTTTCTTTTGGAAAAACACATGCCAACAAGAAATTCTTTGGTATTTTCTCTGAGAATTATTTATTTGCAAAGATAATCAGTAACAGTACAGAAACTTCAGCAGGTAGTTCTTCTAGATACTCTTGGCTGAATATATAAGACATCAGTTTCTGTGTATTTTGAAGCAAATCCAAGTAAAATATGTGGACAAATTATTAGGATTTCACTGGTTGTCTTCCTGTATTGTATTAATATTGCCAATGTAAGTAAAGCAGAAGTTTCATTCATTTTCAGATTGTCCTTCATGGCAGAGTGTTGGAACAAGGTGGAATTTAAGGTCCCTTCCAATCCAAACCATTCTATGATTTCATAGCATTTTCAAGTGCCTGGATTAACTATGGACTGTGTTCTTAAATTTTCCTTTTTAATATTCCTTAATTTCGTTCTCAAACTCATAAAACTTCAAGTTCCACTGCTTCTTAGCAAGCCTTAGGTTCCTCTGTTATTTTGAGTGTGTATTAGAATTCATATCACATCACAGTATTAAAAATCAAAATTAATTCTGTTGGGAAAACAAAAAAAAATTTAGTAGTTAGTAGAAAGCTTGAGAAATTAGTTGAAGAAGCTAAATGGAGAGACTTCAGTATAAAATTAATTTATCACAGAAAATACCTGCAGTCAGTACCACAGTTGTTTATGCTTCATTGTATCCCATTTACCTTTGTGTTTGTATATAGGTAGGTTCTTCCTATGCTAGTTGCTTTCTATGTGGATTGTTCTGTTCCTTCTTTTGTTAACAATTTTCCTTCAATGTATCATAACATACATAATTACTGTTGTTCTCTAGGCTGTTGATTGGTGGAGTGTTGGTGTTCTTATGTATGAATTATTAACTGGAGCATCACCATTTACAGTCGATGGAGAGAAGAATTCCCAAGCAGAGATTTCTAGGTAAGATTCAAAGCAGTGAAGTATATGTGCTTGCTAACGGATGATTCTTATGCCATAATATATGTTTTGTGAGAGTTTGTTAATTTAAAATTTAGGAAGAAAATGCTGCCATGGTAACATTTTGTGTGCTCCAGTTCTGTTCACTGGAATGACATTGGAAAGTAGATAGCTTTTATTAGCTAGTAGAATTGACTTTACAAAAGGCCTGTTTTGTTTAAACTACAGTGGAGCCACAGCCTTGTAGATACTTAGCCCTGTTGCATGTTTACTGTTGAAAAGGAACTCAAATGAAATACCAAAGTATATGTAAATAGAATTATCACATTCCAGATCTTAATACATTAGAGATATCTTTAGCTAGTGATACTTTATCAGCTCTTGCTAGGTTGTTCTGGCAGGCTGCACATTTAAAGTGTCAGAATGTACCCTACTCCCACCTTTTTCTTACAAATTATGTTAATTTTATTAGTGTGTAGCATGAAACAAAGATCTTTTCTAGCCCATTTGCGTATCTGAGGAGAAATGGATGTGATACTTACAGAAATGAAATAAACTATACCATTCTTATCTTTTGCATATAAACTTGTTATTACATTCAGTAATCTCCACACTCTAAAGGTTTGTTTTCAGTACCTGTGTAAAAGCACTGGAGCATTTTTAAAAGACAAAGCAATAAGCTTCTCCAAAGCATGTTACTGAAATCTCCCCCAAAACAAAAATTTCCTTTTATTGGATTTCTTCCTATTGGAGCAGGAAGTTGAGGTCTTAAATTGCTCAAATTACTAACTGCTGTCAAAATGAGCTTGTAAGTCCAGTCCCCAAACTAAAAATAGTCTTGCTTCTCTTGGAAGGTATTGTCCTGGTTCTGACCCTCACCTGAAATCACTTGATATTTAAGGTTATAATGGATGGTAGAATATACCTCAATTGTTTAGAGAACTTATTTTACTTATGTTATAAATTCAGGCAATTTCTTGGGAGATTAAAGCCTGTTTATTGGTTTTTACTTCTCTACCACAGCAAACAGGAAACTAGGACGGGCAGTAGAAAAAATACAGGGGAGGGAGGAGTTCATTAATGAAAGAAAATTCAGGACTTCACCTGCTTGGTTATTATATTGCAGTTAAAACTTCAGTTATCTCTTTCTGCCCTATTTGAGGTTAGAAGTTTGCTTGACTGATTACTTATGCCATGGCTGAATTTGGTAATTTTGATTCCCAAGATTTACTAGCTGGGACTCTGAAGGAGTAACAATTTTTTTTTTTTTTTAGAGAGAGCCTTAAACTGAACTTTACAGATATTGTTTCCCAAAAAATGGGAACTTTTTAGTTGTGTATTCTACAGGACTTGACTTTCTTTTGGTAGGCTCTTTGGTGCTTTTTAAGATAATAATATTTCTGATAATTTGAATGACTACATGGTTGTTAACATCTGTGCTCTGACAGCTAATTACTTTCTTTAGTTATGGCAAGTTTACTGTGTTGCTCTTCAGTCTATGTTCTGGTGGATGTTTATGCTATGCATTTACAGACAGTCCTGTGGTATTTCAGTTTTTATTTTGATAAATTTAGAAGCTAAATTCTTACAGTTTCCTATAGTGAAAATGTTCCCTAGTCTTCCTGTTTCCTGAAAAAGCCTGTTCTTAACTTAGCTTCTGTTGTTCTTTCTTACATATGGACAATTTATTCATGTTGATGCTTCAAGCAGATCTTGGTTAACGGAAGGGATAATTTACCATCTGAACAAAAAAATACTTCTTCCTTTTTCTTGGGTTCCTCTTGTTGATGCCAGTGCTGGTCTGATAGATCTAACTCCTTTTCTTCTTCTGTCACATTCAACTGCTGACTCTCTGGTTTGTAGTTCTTCCTCCCAGCTATATAGCTGAAATCTTCTTATTCCCAGTTAGGTGATTGCATTTCAGACTAGATTTCATCTCTTTTGTGTTACCCCTATACTCATAAGACGCAGTGTTGTATAAACCCTTTCCACTGATAGCAGTTTCTTTTTTGGATCATTTCAGTGTTATGTGTCTGCAGCTTATGTCATGAATGTTATGATCCTTTTAAGAACATGTGAGAGCATTGCTGCTGCCCTGGCTGCTGCCCTGAGCTGTGTGGAACCTTCTGGGCTATGGTGACTGCTGCATGCCTTGGGAGAACAGGAGTGTGTTTGGAGCTTTGCCTGAGGGCAGGGAAGAGCAGGCAAACAGAAACCAAATAGTAACAGCTGCCCCTGATAATGAAATAACTGGCACAGAGATAGGAGTTGGTACAAACTTCTTTCTTGATAGCAAGGTTGTTCTAACACGAAATTAAATGGGTTAACCTAAATATGCTTAAACTTGCCAATTGCAGCAGACTTTGTGAGCAAGTAAAAAAATGAATTCCCTATCTGTTGAAAGCATGGTTTTATTTTTCTGAGTTTAGGGGGGAAAAAAAGTCATCTTTTAAATGGATCTAGGTCCTTCTTTTATTTCACCTAGGTAGGAAGTAATCTTAGATATTTTTAGATAATTTTACTCCCTCATGTGGCACAATGGTTGTGTGGTGTTAAATTTGAAAATGAAACTTTGTTCTAAAATATCTCTCCAAGGAGAGTTCTATTCTTGTGTTGGAAACAGTGTATAGTTTCTATTTTTTTTTCTCTTTCTGATGAGAAATTGTGTTGTTCTTCTATAATAATCTTTTTGGCAACACTGTAGACTTCTTTCATGGGAAATGCAAGTTAAGTAAGTGCAAGTGTTGCCTTTTATCACTGTCTGTGAAGGCTTCTCATTCACATGCTTTGTGTATGGGGCACTAAACTCAAATAAAAAAAAGTCACAACTTCTCCAATATCTCTCCTTTTCTAGTGTGCCCTCTCCCCTTTCTTTTCCCTTGTTCCTGAATTTTCCTTTCATTTTGAGAATTCGGAACTTTTACTGCGGCAGAGCCAGAGATAAGAGCCATCCTGCAAAAGCATAGGCAAGGGCTGGGACTGACCACGCAGCCAGTATTTTCACTTTGACTACGGGTAGTTTGTAGTGCTGAATTGAAAGACAGACAAATCCATTTTAGGGAGCTGACTTTTGGGGGTCCTGTCATGTAGAGGATATAAAATGAGCAGGAAAGTTTTGGAGTACTAGCTTTACTAGTTAGTACTAGTACTAACTGCAACTGTGCAGCAGTTTAAAAAATCTTACCAGCTTTAGGATTATGAATAGATAGAAACATTTTTAAAATGCATAGATTCATCTATAAAATAATCTATAGAAGCATATGATGCCATATTAGCATACTAACACCAGTAGCAGCCCGTGGTCTTTATTTAACATAGTTGGTTAGACATTATTTAAACTTCATGGAGGACAGCTGAAATCTGGCAGTCTCTTGGATGCTGTGGAGATACTTCATCCATGATCCTGCAAGAAACCTTTTCTTCATAGAGCTGTTGGGAAGACACCTAACATCTGTGTACTGGGATGCTCTTCTTTATTGATTTCCTTCTTAAATCAGTGACTCACTCTAGTGATTGCTCGATCTTTTAAAGGATGGAACAGTCATTAAATCCAACTTCTAATTTGCATGATTTCTTCTAGGTATTTGTCCTAGAGCTTTTAGCTGCCTATCGATAGGGTAAAGCATTTTTATGTTTAGGTGCATGTCAGAGTGCCTGAGTGAGTTTGCCTATAGATTTGTTCAACCACTCAGTAAAGCAGATGGTTTAAGGAAGTTTTAGGTGTTGTAGCACAGTTTCTGACTTGTGTAGAACCAGGGTTATGCATGCATATCTGACTGCTCCAAGATGGAGCAGAAGAACAAGAGAGTTCAGTTCAGAACAAGAGGTGACAGGGTCATTCTCAGGTATGAGGGTGAAAACTCTGCTTTAGAAGTCTTTTACATTTGCCCTTTAACAGGGTTACAGCTTGGGGTTGCTTTCTCTTATTCCCTGTACATTCAGATGGATATGTATATTTTTGATGGTGCTTATAACATAATGTCTCAATTTAGAGACAAGTTTAGGAGAAAACACTCTGGAACAGGTTGTTTCCCCTAAAAAGGGTTCCAACAATCCCTTTCCACCAATAGGAAATGTATACTTGTGGATGAAAGTGAAAAAGCCTTTTCCAATGGTTATTTGACAGAATTCCCACAAGGCACAGGAAAAAGGTAAATAAATGCTAAAGATAAAACTGTCAGACCTTACCCCCTCTCCCCCCTGCAGTGGAACAAAAACCCAGAATGACAAGGAAAGAAGGAAAAAACCAAAACACAAAAACCCACCAGCTTACCACATGGTAGGTAGAAGATAGTGGCTCCTCTCTCAGGGAAAAAAACCCAGAAATCTGAAAACAGGAGATTCAAACAGCAGTTTGAGCAAATAGATGAGAAGTCTTTGATGTTGGTCCCTTCTTCACAGCAGATGAAGCAGGTGGGGCTGGTGTGCTCTCTCTCAGCAGCTCCGCTTTTTCTGTAGGGCCAAGATGGAGCGGCCCCTCTACTCCCGCTGGTCCTGACCAACTCCTGTCTTGCAGATCCCTTTTTCTCTGGTCTCACAATTAAACAAACTGTCCAGTTTATGAAAGAAAAGTTGCTGAAGGATTGCTACTGCAGCTTCTTCAAGGCTGGGAAAATGGGAAAAAAAACTTCTTGCCTGGGCTAACAAAAAAATCAAGCTAGCCAAGCAAAAAACCACTCCCTCAGCAGCCTGGGCACCTGGGGACTGAGGCTTTGAAAAAAATCTGCCAAGGAGCCCAAGGTTCAACCCCCCACCCTGACCCCCACCTTAAACATACAACACCCATTTTTGGGCATAAAGCAGAGGGTCAGGGAATAGACTGTCATCATAAGACATGCAATTCTCAAGGTACTGTAGAATTAGATTTGGGATCCCCTTCTCTTCTTTATCAACCATTAGTGTGTCCTTTGCATTATCATATGTGTTCTTGGTCTGTAGTTTTTAATGGGAAAACTCATCAGAGGCCAAGTTCCTGAAAAACAATACCAGTGAGGTTGCTCCTAGTTCTGCATACTCTGCCATAGAGATGGGTAAGATGGAAATGATTCATGTAGAATTAAACTTCTTGACATATGCAAGGAGAGGTTTCTCTGAGTGTTCAGTACAGCCAGAGTTCTCTCATCAGCAGGGTAATCTCAGCTTGCCCCAGCTCAGAGGGCTTATACCAGGCCAGGAAAAGCAATAAATACAGCAGAGTATTCCTTCAGCTTTCCCAATTGCCACTTGGGGTACTTAATTCTTCCTGCTTGTGTCTGTCACTGTTACTGGATCACTGCCATAAACAATGTGGACAACCCCATAAACATGAAATGTACAAAAGGATGGTAGTGATTGAGAAAAGGAAAGGATTATTAATGCTAAAGGCCGTAGCTTCTTTACAGTAGCACACACATTCCAAAAAGGATTTTGATACATGCAGCTTCCTTCCTCTGAACACTGTATGGGCTACTGTTAGAGCCTTGAGTAACCTTCAGTACAGCACTTCAGTAATGCTGAACTAGTGAAACCAGACTCTCTACACTTGATCAAGCTGCTTCACAAATTTCTGCTCTCTCACATGTTGATCCAATCTGGTCTTTCTTTTCTGGCAGCTTGATTACATCCTAATAATTGCAGCTTCACATACTTCAATTCCATTATAATTTTATGTGGTTCCTGGAACTTCTAAAGAAGGTAGCTTTGGTCTTCATTACTTCTGTAATATGGTTCTGTGAACCAATCCAGAGCGTCATCAGTGTTTTCCAGTATCAGTCAACCTCAAAAGTATTTTTGAATTAAAGCCACTGGCAATTTATGTGGATCTCCTTGTAATGGAACATGGCAAAATGCTGCCTTTTCTGCAGAGTTCTTGGGTGGTCAAGAGCTGGAAGATACTTCTCAATGTAAAACTGTACATCTGTTGGAAATACAGTACAACAGAGAGGAAACAGTTTAGGATGTTCCTGGAGTGTGTGGAAGAGAATTTGCTCTAGAATTTGGTTACTAAGGACATCGCAGAGTTTCAATCTCATTGCTTTAGAAATCAATTTCAAAACATACAGATTGGAGGGATTTTTCTCCCTTCTGAGTGCCCAAAGAGAACGTGTTGTTTTCCAGAATCTTTGTTACATAACTTTCTGATTTCTTTTTGATCAGAAAGGTTGATAAAGAAGCTTCTTCAGACTTATCTAAATGCAGTGATTTTCAAACTATGAAAACATTGGCCCTCCTGTAAGTAAAGTAATTTTTCTATCAAGGTGTCCTGTCTTCTATCTTTACAACAGGAAAGTTTTCTTACTTCCTTACCTGCTTCCACTTTCTGAAACTGGGTGATTTCAGAAGAGACTGAGTCTTTACTTCACCACCACTCCTGCAGTATAAGAATACTCTTGTTTAGTGATGCTTAAATTTGGTATTAACATCCCTAACTAAAAAATCAGTTGATAATATTGTGCTTTCTTCTCCTGTTCTGTAACATTAAATGTGTCCAGAAGTTGAAGAGAAGTTTTATGGTTGCTGTTACTTCTGCTGGCAGAAAGGCTGTGATTTAGACCCTTACTGGCAGATATATATCATTTAAAAAAAACAATCCTAGACCTTTACACCATCTTAAATCTCAGACTGTTTTCCTAACTCCTTTCAGCAAGGAGATACTAAAACCAAGAGGTTAGCTTGCTTTGTCTTTTTGTTTGCTTGAAATTGGATACTATGTCTGTAGAAGCTACCCCTGGGATATGCACATTTTGAACTTGGTTTTGCTCTTCCACACTGCCAGAACAGGATTATTTAGGAAGCAATCTGTTTGCATCTATTTTTGGACTAATCCAAGAAGCTAGACATTTCAAGATAAAAATTTTCTCATGGGATAACTGACTCTAAGGATGTGTCATGCAGTAACTGAACAAAATTTAGGAATGTCCTGCAGTGATCAACTTAAGCTCTGGCAGAAACATACAATAGTTGAGATCTGACTATTGCCACAAATTCATGTCATTTCAGCCTCAGTCTCTCTTGGCTTCAAAACCTTTCAGTTTGTGTTTAGTGGAGGCACTTTAAGCCCTACTATGAGGTCACCATAGTGAGAGTATGCATCAATCTATGTAGACGCCAAGCTGTACCTGAGCCAGCAATGTGGCCTTGTGGCAAGGCAGCAAATGGGATCCTGGGCTGCATTACACAAAGTGTCATCAGCTTAGGGATATGATCCTTCCTCTCTACTCAGCATTGCTGAGGCACATCTGGAGTCCTAGTTCCACTCCTGCTCTCTCCAGTGCCTGAGAGTGATATATTGGGCATATTGGAGAGAGTCTAGCAAAGGGCTGATGACAATGAGGAAAGGCTGAGAAGGCTGTTGCTCTTCCACCTGGAGAAGGGAAGGCTTAGGGATACCTTGTCAATGTGCATAAATGCCTGAAGAGAGTGCGCAAAGAAGAGGGAACCAGGCTCTTTCAGTGGTGTTTAGTGACAGGACCAGAGATAGGGCCCACAAACTGAAACACAGGAGGTTCCCTCTGAGCACTAGGAAACACCTTTTTACTGCAAGTGTGACCAAGTACTGACACAGGCTTCCCAAAAGAGGGGGTGAAATCTCTCTCCTTAGGGATACTCAAAGGGTTTCTGGCCATGGTGGTGAACAACTGGCTCTAGGTAACTGTTTGAGCAGGGGGAGTTGGACCAGATGACCTCCAGAGATCATTCCAACCTCAACTATTCTGTGATTCTGTATGCTGAAAGGTTTTTTGTGTCTCTATTTTAAACATCTTCATGTGTCTTTGGATGGGTTACTTTCCTTTAGGGTCCTTAGCTTCAGTATTTAGATTTGGAGTAACTAAAGGAAAGCTTTCCTACCTGTTTCTATACAACTGTGGGGACTGCAGATATAAAAGATAGGACTTGAAATGTGATTCTACTTAGGCTTCCAAGGTTTTGACTTCCATTGGCACAACATGATAGTTTCTAGTTCTTGTATTGAAAAAGTGGTGAGGTCTCTGTTTACTTTACCATTTTGAGGGAAGCACTGCCCAGCTCCCTTGAGTCATCTTTTCAGTAAGCTTTTTTATAAAACTCTCTATAAAACACATTCTATGTCTGATTGATCTTATTACTGTTCTCTAAAACTTTTCCAGTTATAGTGCCTTCATTTCAGAAAAGGGCATGAGCACTGCACATGACACGGAGGGTGAAGGCAATCCTCCAATGGCCCAAATACTTTTTTTTTTAATTTCTAATACATTTTAATGTTGGAATTTTTTTTTTTGACTACTATTAGTCATCAAGTTGATTTCTTTGTGGAGCTATCTGTTTCAACTATGATTTCTTTTGAATAGTAAACTCAGTATGTGAAATGAGGATTGTTCTCCTTTTGTGTATTGAGTTCCATAATTTATCTCTTCAGATGTTCTGTTTCATGTCCACAATTCCTTAAACCTTTAAAAAATTTGGTTTCATATTTGTCATCCTCCTGCTTTTGGGTACAATAGAAGTTTAAGTGAAATGTTAATGCTTCCATTAGTATGGTAACTCTTTAGCTCTCAACATTTTAAGTAACTTCCACATTGTTATTTTGTTTGTTTTAAAGGAGAATATTAAAAAGTGAGCCACCTTATCCACAAGAAATGAGTGCTCTGTCTAAGGATATAATTCAGCGTCTTTTAATGAAAGACCCCAAGAAGAGGCTAGGTTGTGGTCCCACTGATGCTGATGAAATCAAACAGCATCCCTTTTTCCAGGTAAAGCAAACAACAAAACTCACCAGATCCCACTTATTCTGAATTAGTGCCTGTGAAATCAAAGTCTAAGGAAATTCCGTTGTTCTGTTAACAGAACAACTTAAAGACCTATTAGTTGCATGAATAATTGCATTGAAGTTAGTAAAAATATCCATGTGTTTGTATGTATGGATTTTGTGTGTATTAGAAGGGCGTGCTAGGTTTTTAATATATTCTGTCTGTATCTATCAGTTACTTGAAGAAGCTAAAGGAAACACTGCTGAAATCAGAAGGTTTAATGTAAAACACTGAAATTGTGTTGTGTTGTCTGTTGGGTTTTTGTTTGAAAGGATTTTTTTAAAGATTGGCACTAGAATTATTAGTAAAAATTTTAATATTAATAAAATTTACCAAACTCCTCTATTTACCTTGGCCTAATTGAATCTTTAGTCTTGTACAGTAAATTTTAATTTTGTTCAGATTTCAGTGTCTTAATGTTTGCTTTCAAACCATGATGAAGATTGGATTTGCATACAATATCTGTATTAAATGTGGTTAAAATTGTGTGATTTCTTTGAAAAAACAAATAATGTATTTATGGTGCTTCTGAAGCTAAGTAGAGTTAAACAGAATTAAGCTTCCTTAATTTACTGTTTGTTTTGGGAGATGCATTTTGCCATCATGTAACACTTTCTATTCTTTACTTGATTTCAGTTCCACTCCTTTACAGTAACAGGGCGGTTTGCTCATATCTGCTATTTCTATGCTTCCTCTTTCTAGTCATGCCTGCAAGTAAGAATTTGGAGGTTTATGCTCTCAGGGCTCTGAAAGCTGACATCAGTAATAAAGCATAGAAATTGGCAATGAAAACTAGAAGATACTACATGCATGCGTTGTGGCTAATGAAAATATAAATATTGCTTATTCTGAAATAGAGGCAGAAATTCAGGGACCATCACGCTAATTGTTTGGCACATCTCCACTGTTAAATTATGTTGAATTTCTTTTTGGATTCTGTCTGCATACTAAGAGCTTTGGCTTTAACTAAACAAATTAGTAGAGCATAATTTGAATGTTTTTCATCAGCCTGTGGAAAATGGCAAAGGGAGTTAGACTGTGTGATGTGACAAGGCTCTCTTTCCAATATCATTCTGTAAAATTTTCATTTAATTAAATTTATTTTCCTATTTTTTTGTTTAGAATATGAATTGGGAGGACTTAGCTGCCAAAAAAATACCAGCTCCATTTAAACCAGTAATCAGAGATGAATTGGATGTCAGTAATTTTGCAGAAGAGTTTACAGAAATGGATCCAACATACTCTCCTGCAGCAACTCCTCAGACTTCTGAAAGAATATTTCAGGTATTTTCAAAACTCAGTTTTTTAAAGAAAATTATTTTAAATTATTTTTTAACAATTCCTAATGTGTAAATAGCTTTTTTTTCACCTCCTGCCTATTAAGTTTTTGGAACTAATTGCTTACCTTCTAATCCCAGTTGCCAGGGCTTTTTGCTCAATAATTGCAAAATGAGAAAGGTGGAAACAGTCCTACTGCAAATAGGAAATTCCTTGTTTCTCCATTCCCAGCTGAATATCCTACTTGTTGGACTAAAGTCAGTCTGTTCTTTATTTTTTCATACATTGAGTCTTGTCATCTTGACTCCATCAGCCTGAGCTGCCAGCTTTGACAAGAGCAATTTAGTTCACCCATTTCCACATTATATGCTAGTTGAAGTAATCCTTTGGAAAGTGGGAGCTGAAATTCCACGTTTTGTAGGAGTGCTGTAGTTACTCAGCTGATGTTTCCAGATGAGTACAAAGCTTTCCTTACCATTCCTTCTGTGCTATTAAAGAATGATCCCTTCTTGACTACACAGTCTGGGTGTCAAATGGGCAGAAACAGCTCATGTGCAACCAACTTGGTACCAAAACTGCAGAGGTGAACAGCAGTTTGGATTGCCTTCTCTTTCCCCTTGTTGCGCTTTGTTGTTTTTTATTGTCTGTTTTTGAGCAGCTTAATCCTCAGGGTAGAGGAATGTAGTGTCATATTTTGGATCTTGTTAGATTCACAGTGACTGTAGCAAGCAGGTTATTTGTGTCTTAATAACATCTGATTCACCCTGCAGTGGTAGTCACAGCTGTTATTATGATACTCAAACTGGGCACATCATTGCCCACACATATTGATATAAATTTTATCCATTTAAAATTGTTCGATGCTTACATCACAATACAAACTATTTCATGCCTTAACTTTAAGGTGTCATGGGAGGCTGGCTAGTTTGAAGTCCAAGCCTTTATCACTATTGTAAAGCAATTGTAGCTGAGCCAGATTAACATTAATTAGAATTCTTGTAGTATTATTGTTCTGTCTCTAACTGTGGAGGATCATATAACTAATTCCAGGAAGATGCCTATTCATATTGAACAGAGTAAGTCACAATTTCTCTATTATGATACAAAAAATTCTGATTTATTGAAAAATTCTTCTGAATCTTCTGTTGTTTCATATGTATCATGGTAGTTTATGTGCAACAGTATCAAGCTGTGCCCTTCTCTGATGTTTTAATTTCACAGGGATATTCTTTCGTTGCACCATCTATTTTGTTTAAACGCAATGCAGCTACAGTAGATCCCTTCCAGTTTTATGTGGGGGATGAGAGACCTGGAATGACAACTATTGCCAGAAGTGCTATGTTGAAGGTAATAATAATATCAAGACTTAAATTAATTTGGTTAAATTAAAACTATGTGTAACTTCCCAAGCAGCAATCATAAGCTAGGCTATGGATTACAAAATAGTCATCATTCATTTATTAACTCTCTGTAATGGCTCCTCAGATGATTCAAGCATCTGATGATCCATCACATCTTGCATGTGATACTATTAAGAAATGGTTGAAGTTTAATCTGAAAAATGAGATGATAGTCTAGTTTTCCAGAAGTATAGTAATAATAATAATAATAAGACACCTGATACTTTTTATTCAGCTAAACACTATAGATATTTCTGAAGCTACTTTATTATATAATAATTCCATCTATGTTATATTTACCCAAAAGAGCATATAGTTGTGTGAAGCCTTATAAGAGCACATGCTATTGTGATGTCCTCAAATGAGTACATAGTTTTGTGGGTAAATGTATGTATGACCACCTTTGATCCTGTTTGTCTGAATATTTTGTATCTTCAATTGTTATAGTAGTAATGATTTATTTAGTGATTGTTTGTTTAATGTAATGTAAGCTTTACTCTTTGATTGTTAGAATAATGTATATGCATTTTATTCAGTAAAATTTGATTATATTTTAATAAAAAGAGAGCTCTTTTGCAGTTTTAAATATAGATGAAAAATTCTCATGAAATTTTACTCTTTGTCTTTGACTGTGTATACTAAAAGTATTCTGCAAAACTAAATACAGACAGTTTCCTAACAGGACTCTCCATTTTATCATCATTATGAACTGGATCTGAAAGAGAAACCATTGGGAGAAGGAAGTTTTTCCATTTGTCGAAAATGCTTACACAAGAAAACTAGCCAAGAGTATGCAGTAAAAATAATTAGCAAAAGGTATAAATATTCTATAAGACAATACAAATATTTTCTTTGCTTACTGTCGCCCATCGAGTACAATAATGTTCACTACATTTTTGGAAGTGGAAAAATAGCTTTAAAATTATTTCCTGTTCTGTGAATCTACAGAAACTTATTGTAACCTTTTGACCTTTAAAAGATTCTGAGAGTCTTTTGAAATAAAATGTTATTCTAGCTGGGACACAAGAAGAAACCTAGAGAGTACTTTTGTGGTTCCTAGTTGTATTCTATCATTATTTCCACTAATTTTGCTCCTAACAAATAAAGGTATGAGGCTCTTTTATCTTGACACTTAGGTGAACTGAATGTAGGCTTAAGCTAGCTCCCTCTCTTTAGCAGCCCAACTGATTGCCTAGGGTACTACTTTTAGGAATAGTCTGCAGTGTGGGTTGCCTCAGATCTAAGTGTGTGTGTATGTGTATAAAATGGAATTAGACTATGGAATTGTAAGTTGTATCTTGTTTCCTGGATGTTCTGAAGAGAACACCACAATGGAAGCAGCTGATTTGCTTTGTACACGGGTACCATCTGGTTCTCCTCCAGAATGGATTTCTCTGAGTTTCTGCTCAGAGAAGAATAAAGATAAGGGATTCTTTGAGTAGCAGATAGATTTTTGCCTTCATTTTACAGAGTTCATTACTAAGTACATCCTTAGTGTGTTGCAGAATGCTGACAGGAGAGTAGAAATGTTCTGCTGTCAGGGTGATAGTTCAGTGATCTCTTGCCCAAGACATTTGGCTGTACCTCTGTTTTTCCAGACTCTAGAAGAAGCTGTTTGCCAGACCTAAGTGTCTGTCATTTCATCATATACTTTTTGATTAGGACAAGTTCAAGAACAAGAAGCTGAAGTGTAGGTGTCTGAGTTAGTTTTGTGGAGTCTGCTGAATTAGTGGAAGCCTGCCTAAAACTGTCTTGCACTAGAAGTGGGATTCAGTAACTTAAACATAGACCTCTACATAGGGCCATTTTAGCATCTGTTGGTGTCTTCTCTGTCCTCTGGTTCCCATCAGTCTTGTGACTGCTACCTTTTTGTAGATGTCTTCATGGCTGATGTCATCTTCCAGGCTCTTCTTCCTATGCTTAGGCCACTGAATCCTACTCTAGGTATGTATGTTACAGTGAACTAGTTCACCCTATAAGATGGATTCATGGGAATTTCACTCATTATAATGAGACCCTAAGTGGTGTGTGGTAGACACCTACATTGGGTATTTTAGTGTGGAGATCTCTTCCATGTGTCTACACTCAGAAGTTTTTTCTGTGATACCAGCAGAGCTGTAGGTTAGTGCTCCCATCTCATTTTGACATAATGTGCATTTTGTTTCTGGATTACTGAGCAGACCAGTATTGACTTTTCCCCTGGAACTTAAGTTCTAGAAATTATGTCCCTGAATTATATTACTCATCAGGTTTTTTTTTGCTCTTTTTCCTTCATCTTGGTGGCTCAGGCTAAATGAAGCTAAAATCGCTGTATACAGAGATTTATGAAATTTTTTTTAGGATTGCAGGGTGTGAGCAGACTCAGCATGTTTGTACAGTATTTAGAGTTAGCAGTAAACCCACACTCTGAACAGTTGGCCAAAACCCAACTTGAATTAGAATCTGTAAGTAATATTGCTCTGAGGATCATGCCACTAAATCTTACTAAAAGGAAAAGTATAATAAATTTATAGGAACTTCTTTGCCTTAAAGTCAGTCTTTCACTCCTACTGGGCAAACATGCCCAAAAAGGGAATCTTACATCTAGGGAAACCTTTTCATGATACTTGGGGTGAAAGCTCAGGTGCACAGTTCCTCTGCCTTTTTAATAGTGCTGGACCTGCCCCCAGCCAACATTTTTAGGTTTCTCTGTATGTCTGACCACTGAAACAAAGTAAACTTGCTTGAGTCACTGTTTCAGAGCATCCCATTTGTTTCTCTCAAGGTTGCTTACAATCTGAGATGGTAACTATTTACAAAGGGGAAAATTTCAGAAAAGTCCACATACAGATTTCAAAGATTTGTGCTCATGATGCTGAATCTTTTTCATCTGTTTCCAAGATCTGCTTCCTTCTGATAGTAGTTTAGGGGGAAAGACTGTGAGTCAGGTTTTTTAATTCCTTAAAGGACTAGAAGTCACTTTCAGTTAAAAAATTTCAGCATTAGAGATGCAGGTGGAACAGCTTAGTTTACTTGTTGATTATATGAAGCCTAGAGAAATGCAGAATTCTCTTGCACAGAATTCTCACTGTAGTTCTCATTCTAATTAGGAGAAAAAAGCAACCAGAAATAAATAAAATATGTGGTGAAAGATTCTCTCTGTATCTGTTGCCTGTAAAGCCATTCTCTAGATCATTATAGGATTTGCCTTCCTCAGAGAGAGTTTTGGCAGAAATTTGCAGGTATTATTTGCCAAAAGTAAATCAGTATATTTAACTAGCAGAAAAAAATGTTCTGCTCTGTCACCATTCATGTAGTTTTTATGACACTCACCATTTTCACTTTTTATGGCTATAGATTTCAGTACTTGAAAGGGAATTTATGCAATGAGTTTTCTCTGGAAATAGTCTCTTATCTCTTCTATTTCAGATTTTTACAATGCTCTGTTGAGGGTTTTTTTTTGAATAACACATTTCATATATAGATGATGTTACTCTTTTTCTAGTAAATTTCGTAGTTTCTATATCATTTTGGAAGTACTTGTCCCCATTAAGAATGGAAAAAAGATTGGGCCAAGATAAAGGTGAACTAACAAATATTGGTAGTAAAAAGGTGAAGTCAAATTGCTCTGGACTAAGGGCATGGTTTGTTTTAGATTGAAACTATTCTGTATCACATCAGCTTTTGCTGTAGGAAGTTGCAGTTGCATTAAAAACATTGTTTGAATTGGGTGTGGGTTTTTTGATGGACTAAATTGCAGGGTTATGAGGAGAGGTTTTTCTCCACTTAATTTTAATATGCACTTAATTGTGTTCAAGTGGTTGTAATAGTAAAAAAATACGGATTGCAAACAGTTAAAAATAACACTTGGAATGTGCAATTTGCTCAGTAAAATTGGTACAAGATGACTGCTCAATTTTTCCAGAATGGAAGCCAACACCCAGAGAGAAATAACAGCTCTGAGGCTCTGCGAGGGACATCCGAATGTAGTGAAGTTACATGAAGTTTTTCATGACCAGGTATTTTGAAGAAACTGTAATCAACACCTACCAAACGTACTGCCATATGTTTTCCAAGAGCTTTTTGGACTTAAGCATTCTGTAACTGTTGAGACAACTTTTTTCCTAGGCTTTTGTCTAGTCAGTATAGAAAATGAAGCAGAAATTGTGCATTCTAACAATCTTGCAGTTACTCTAGCAAATCAAAACAGTATGCGAAAAAATTAGAGGCTTGAATTCTGTTCATTGTTCTGTTTTGTTTTTGTTTGCCATCATACAATGTGTTCATGGCCCAATTTCTGTATCTATGATACTGAAATGTGTTATCACCTTTGTCCCAGAATCATTATAAATCTTACAACAGTATTTGTGAATTAATTTATAAATGCTGTAAATGAAGATTATATTTAGTATCTTTTCCTACACATTAGTAACCTAATGGAGATAACCAAATAATTTGCCAGATGACCAAATGCAAAAGTAGAGCTTCTATTTGAAAATCCATTAAGATCAGTTTACTTAGATACCTTAACTGTCTTTTTCCTTTAATGGAATGCAGACTCTACAGCATGGAATAAAAAATAATTTGATTTGAATTGGAAGCTGGCCCTGATTTGAGCTAGGGTTTTGGACCAGATGTCCTGTACAGCTCCCTTCCAACCTAGACTACTCTGTTGTTCTGTGTTGGTCGATAGATTTTGTAGTGGAACAAGTGGTCTCTTACCTCTCCACATATCCCAGTCTGTCTCCCTCCTGCTATTTGTACTGGGACCAGCAGAGAGCTCATGTAGAGCACCTCAGAATTTACTGAGAGGATACAGTGTCTGTACTGTAATTTTTAATGACCCTTTTTTTTACATATATGCACAGTATGAGTGCACATGTGTAGAACAGGACATTTCTTTCAGTTTCCTTTGAGTAAAATGAATATGCTAAATCTAAAAAAATGGTTCTCCAGACTGCTGTGCCACTGAATAGGCTGCTCTCAACCAAGCAACCCGCTGTATTTTTAGCTACTTCTGGTAGCTCTCAGATGTTACCTTTCAGATTACTTGTGCACAATATTCTGAAGACCAAAACTGGAAGGAATGTTCTAGTTTTGACCTTTCTGCAGTTTGTCTTAATAAAAAGAAGTTCCAGTTTTTAACTTGTTCTGATATCAGTCTGTACAAATTCAGTATTAGTATTCCAACCATATAATATTGGGCTGCAGTCTCTTGGTGAGCCAGAAGTTTTCTAGTGAAAAAAATCTTTCTCCTTTTTAACTTCCCTATCAGATATTCCCAAGGCATAAAGAAAATTGCAGGAGAGGAGATCATTCAAGCACTACTGTATACCTTGGTTGTTCTAAGTGTTACTATTTTCTGTCCACATAGCTCTGCTTCTGTTCTTTGGTATATATAGTGTGCACCTTCTTGAATATTGCTTTGAATTCCGTTTTTTGGCCACTTCCCAGAACTTTTTTGCTGTGCTTGCAAATACTACTTTTGTTACTGTCATTCAGGGGAGGGAAGGGCTAGAAGCCATGGCATGCCCACATCCATTGCCTTTTCAGAATGCTGACTTTACTTCCTTGTTCTGAGAAGTCTGCTGATTGTTTAATGGCAAGATATTTGAATTGCAGTTGAGTGTGTGCCAATGTTGTCTAGGCCCCTGCTTATTTATTGCTTTCTAAAAACTCATTGCTTTTTTAATTTAAAAAAATGCTCTTTAAATTTTGGGAAGATATCTATTGTAATTCTAATGATGGAGTACTTTTGGCTACTACTCTGTAGGGGATAAAATCACAAGTTCTAGATAATTTTTTATTTCAGAGATTGAGTTTCAGAGTGCTTTTAAAGGATTTTGTAACATTTAAGTCCTTATGCATTTTAATAGATACATATCCTTATATCAGAACAGGCTTAAGCAGCAAAAGTTTCACATTTTCCAGCTTTACTTGTTAAACTAAGTAAAGCTTTTTCATCTCCCTACAAATGTGTACATTTAGCTGATGGCATTGCATTTCTGTTAATAAATATGGGTGCACATGGGAACACATTATTCTTCAGTCTCAACAAGACTGATGGGAAAAATGCCATCTGAGATTTGGTGCTTTTTTTTTTTTGGTCTTCCAAATTACTACAAGCAGCAGTGCTATTTCTTCAAACATTGAGAACCTGTCAGAATGGCACCTAACTCCTGAGTGAATGCTGGTTTGGAATGTTAAATTGCTAACATGCTGTATTTTTACTGTTTCAGCTTCACACATTCCTGGTAATGGAATTGCTGAAGGGAGGAGAATTGCTTGAACGTATTCAGAAGAAGAAACATTTCAGTGAGACGGAAGCCAGTCACATTATGCGCAGGCTTGTTTCAGCAGTGAGCCATATGCATGATGTGGGAGTAGTCCACAGAGATCTGAAACCTGAGGTATAGTGACGTATATATATATATATATATATATATATATATATATATATATATATAATGTTTAGACAATAAGTTATTAAATGTCTGGAATGTGTATCTCTGTTTCTCCAGCCTTTGTTACAGAGTTTTCTACTTCTGTATTTTTAATTAGGTGTTTTACTTAACAAACTCTGTACTTTAGCTTAACAAATTCTGTAGATATTTTTCTGTTCATAGGTAAAAGTAACTGTAAGCAATCTCTACTCTTAACTTGTTCAAAAACATTCTTTGCCTATATGGGGACATTTTTCACTAGCACATATTTATTGTGTGAAGCAGTTCATAAGCAGAGCTAGGTTGCTTGGGTATTTTGCCTGTACATTTCCATCTTTTGTTTGATCATAATTTCCTTAGTAGGGCTTCTTTTCCAGTTAAGTACAAAATGAGCACTAAGAGAGATTGTGATGTGAGTTCAGTGAGTTCGGTAGTTTCCCAAAAGAAACAATTTATTAATATCTGTTTTTCAGTAACTGTTTTCTGATATTTTTGTTGTGCAGCAGCATCATGACTTCTAGACCATTCAGTTTACTATTATAAGATTGACCACTGGCTTTGTTCTGCTTCCTGGAGCCAGTGTTTTCTTGGGTGCTTTTGCCAGCAATGGGTTGGGATGTACGTTTTCTCAGCCTGAAAATAGTGTAGATTAATGTTGATTCATCCAGTAAGGATGTTTATTGTAGGGTGATGACAGCCATCATACCCCAGGAAATAGCTGTTCCTTTTGTAGCTGGAGTTAAAAAATAATCCACCATTCCTACTGATGTTTTGTCTTACTGTAACATACTTTCTGTGATATGAAAGACTTGGTATTTTATAATAATTCCAATTCAACTGGTAAAGAAGTCTTCTAGGTGTTGCTAGTTGTTTATGAAAGCGAATCCAAAGTGTATGAATTTGAAAGAAACTCTGTCCTGGGCTCCTGTTGTAAGTAAACAGTTAAAGAGGGACTATTTTGAAATTCTAATGTGCGAGTTGGAAAAATCATCAGAGAAACTTTTTCCAAGAGTCACATTGCCAGGGTAAGAAAACTATTTTTGAAACAAGTAATAATTAAAAGGATGAAACCGACCCCACTTTCTCTCTTCTATTCTTATCATCTTAGTCTTACTTTCACTTTGAATATAAGGCACAGTGAAGCAAAGCTTCAGCTGTAAGGTAAATTAGGCAGTCTTCAATTCTACATTATGTTCAAGAACAGAAGTCTGGGAAGTCAAGTAATGAAGGGTTAGCAAACAGCTTGCAGAATCCATTGCCTCCACAAAGTTGGACTTAAGCTGCTTGTCTCCTTCTTGCCTGTGTTGAAAGTTACTATTTTAGGTTCTGACATGAACTTAGTATGGGATATGCAAGTTTCCCAGTATAGATATGGTTAGTGCATTTCTCTGTAAAAAGATATATAGGAAATCCTTCTTGCTTTTCTAAGAAGTCCAGTCAGATTTTTTTGCTGTTCAGCTTTGCAATCTAATGTGCTACTGATAATTATTTTTTTTAAAGTATGGCTGATTAAATGTAACTAACAGTGAGACTTTGAATTTCATGGACTGGAAGACTTCTGTTTATCAGTACTAATTAGATCACATATGTTGGTCTACAAAACAGAGGAAAAGTGCTGGATAGAAAGTAGACAATTCATAGGAATAAAGAGTTTGTGTAGCATATGTGACCATATTTGAAGCTTCTCAGTAGAGGATTTGAGGACTGTTTCTGTGATCATTAATCTGTGAACTGGGTTCTAAAGGTATTACAACAAAACATAAGAAGTGTGCAAGAATGTTGTTTATATATCCTAAAATAAATGTGAAATATAGCTGTAAATATTTGGGGAATAGGAGAGTTCTGAAATATGCCCAATTTGCCTCATTAACAGAAATACCTGAACCCAGTGTAGAATACTTGGACTGAACCTTTATTTCCATGCATAACCAATTTAATTTTTATCATAAGAAAGGTCTTTTAAAACCAATGTTATTAATTCTTTATTTTCTTGTAGACTATATAACATCACCATAGAAAAAAGGCTATTATATTAATCACTTGTCCTTGTATGAATATTTTTGCTGAAATTAGGCTTCCTGTAGATCCATTTACACAACAATTAAAAACTGACTTCTCTGAATGTGCGTTAAACTATATCAGCAGTGCAAAAAGCAAAAATACTAAAATACTGTTTTGTAGCAGCTATTTTCTTTTGTCCATAATGAATGGTCTCGGGTTCTCCTTATTGATCTGCTGGCAGTCTAGCAATCATTTTTACCCTTGTTAATGAGTTTGAAATTAATTACTTTGTGTGACTCATTCACCTTTTGTATTACAAGGTTAGATAAGACTATAGGATTTCTAATATTGAGATTTTTCTAGCATTCATAAATTGAGCAATAAGGAAGTAGCAAAATGATGCTCTTCTCTCAGAAGATGAAGGGAAGAGTAGAATTGGCTTATGATTCTTCTTGGCCTCAGTTTTTCTGTGACTTAGCTTCCCTCTTGTATCTTTCTTGGCAAATACAAATATTCAGGGCAGAAAAAAGAAGCAGATTGCCTTATATTTTCCAAATTGATAACAGCTTGTCTGTCCTCAAGTCCAAAGTGCCACATTCCAGTGTGTAAAGCTGGAGTTCTCAGGGACTACTGTACTAATGTCTCTGCCTTGGTGTAAGGAATAGGTTTGTGGTGGGACTGATACCTTCAGTGCTTGAATGCTGTCAGTCCCAGGTTTCTGTCAGAGCACATATCCATCCATACTGGCTTTGCCACCCATGCCAGACAGCTCTCAGTGAAACCTCTGAGCTGTTGGTGCACTTCTTAACACCACTTCATACCAAGGTGCACCTTTTTATCACCATCCTCCTCTTTCAAATGACTCTGGTGCATTGTTGTCCTCATGGCAATGCTGTGGTACCACTTGAGTACCAAAAACTGTTCAGTCACAAGACAGAAGGAGCAGTGGGAATCCCCCACACAAGAAAGCTGTTGTTCACAACATGCCAGAAGGAAGTGGAAGCTTAAGAAAATTTTCTTTTGTCTGAGGAAGAAGGCGATTCTCCCATCTCCAAATGTGTTGATGTCTTGAGGTTTTTTTCTTGTCAAAGTTCCCAGAATTCTCTTCTCTGCTGTTCTGTGCCACGTATCCATTTTCATTAGTAATCTCAGAACTGCCCTGACTTGCAGATATGGAGGGGCAGGTAAACACGTCACATTTCTTACAATCCAGAGTATTGTTATTTCTGTTTTTCTCTTCCCTCAGTGTCTCACAGTTCACCTTTCCTCTAGATAATGGAAAATTTTCTGAAGTGATAGATGTAGCAAAATAATTTTAACTAGTTTTGTACCCAGTGCTAATATTGATTTTTGTCTTTGCTTTTCAGAATTTACTATTTACAGATGAAACTGATAATTCAGAAATAAAAATAATTGATTTTGGCTTTGCTCGTTTAAAACCACCTGATAATCAGCCTCTTAAGACTCCGTGTTTTACCCTTCATTATGCGGCCCCAGAGCTCTTGAATCACAATGGTTATGATGAGTCTTGTGATCTGTGGAGTTTGGGGGTCATTTTGGTAAGTGATTGAGGTTTTTAACTGTAATTTTATTGCATGTATTTCTTTTTTGTTAAAATGCAAGGGACTTGAGATGATTTCATACATAAATTGGTACATGCTGAATTCAAGGGAGGTGAAAGTACTACTGCACAAATAATATGTTCCAAAGACACATCTTTTCCAGGAGCAGAATTTTTTTAGCAAGTAGGAAATAAAATTTAGCATTTTTGGGAATGGAAAAATTACTTGATACAGTCAGCTTCTCAAAAAGATATATGCTTCTTAGGGGATTTTACAGGCATCCATATAATCTTCTGACACTTTCAGTTCAGAGAAGGAATCAACCTGTATTCTGATCTACAGAAAATTAGTTTCATTTGATATAAATGGGGTAGAAATATATTTTGTTCACGGCTTCCTGAAATAGATGAATGTTTTTTCTAACAAGGACTCCAGAGAAAGTCTTCTGTATTTAAATATTTAAATATTCGATAGCCTAAAGTTATGTTTAGGCCAAGTTTTATTGTGTAGCATTGGTGATGCAAACAACAGCCCTTCATATTTAACAGCAGAGTTGCCTATAAATACCCTGTGTTTCCTAAGGCTGCTTTTGTTCTTGTGGCAGTACACGATGCTGTCAGGGCAGGTACCATTTCAGTCTCAAGACAGAAGTTTAACATGTACCAGCGCGTTGGAAATTATGAAGAAAATAAAAAAAGGAGAATTTTCCTTTGAAGGAGAGGCTTGGAAAAATGTTTCTGAAGAGGCTAAAGAGCTAATTCGAGGTATGTATTTACAAGTATTTAAGGTACATTGTTTTTATTTAAAAAGTAGAATTTGGAGAACCAAGTTGTACAATATCTGGATGCTCTGAAGTGTCTCACCTGACAGAGCAATATGCACAGCTTGAGCTGTGTACTGACCTCTAAAACTAGCAACGAGTGGCAAGGGACACATCAGAATGTATTGCTTGTACACCTAGCAGAGTTTTCTAATATGGTAAGATGCTGATGAGGTTAGTGGGGTTAGAAGGAACTGAAGAGCTTCAGAAAATTGAACTCACTCTTATAACATGTTTAAGAGCAGAGTTTTTTATTATGTTGTTTTTGCTTTTCTAAAAAATCAAAACAGCTTATGAGATAGATAAAAGTCTTAAAAGCTGAGCTTTTGTAGAGAATGGATTTATTACTATTTCTTTTCTGTTGGCTATTTTTTAATTCCTGTAAAAAGACTGCTTACTGTATTTCTGAGCTACTTCACTGACCATTGCTGTGCTTTGGTTCCCTTAAGCTTTAGAGCATCTAATTATGTTTTCATCATGAGCTAGACACCTACTTAATGCTACTTAGATGGAGTTCTGATTTCTGTAGAAGCAGATTTTTAAGGAATTTTTCTGCCAAAAATGTAGGGATTTCCAGATTCAGACTTGAGTAAATTATGCAGGGAACCTGAGGCTTACTCTTATGAACTTTATCCTAAACAGGTTATAAGTGAAGAAATCATTTGGTAGTTCTGAGTTTCTGTGAAGAGATATGTGAGTTATCAAATAGTTACAATTTTTTGCCTTTAAGATTCTTCTGGAGAGGATGATAGTATAACATTGTGTAAGCCTTATCTAGGATAAATATTGGCATACCTAGGATAAATATTGACATTAATTACTTATCAGAGCAATGCATGAGATTTTATTAAGAAATATTTGCATTTTCTATTGACCAAAGATAAATAGCTGACAGTTTTAAAGACTGTAATGTGTTTCTATTAGGACTTCTCACAGTGGATCCAAACAAAAGGATTAAAATGTCCAGCCTGAGATACAATGAGTGGCTTCAGGATGGCAGCCAGCTCTCATCTAACCCTCTAATGACACCTGATAACTTAGGCTCTTCAGGAGCTGCAGTGCACACATATGTCAAAGCCACTTTCCATGTAAGTTCTGAGAAATTGTTTGTCACAAGCTATGTTTTGTAATGTGTCATCTGGATTTGTGTGTTTTCTCTTAACAACTATACATATCTCTCCTTATAATTCAGTATGTCCTTATAGCTCGATTTTTTTTTTTTCCCCTCAATAACATTTCCTCATAACATCTCTGATGGAGTACACAAAAATAGGAATGATGAAGCAAGCATAAATTTTTTGGAGGTATTTATTTTCATGAGGATTTGGACATTGAGTGCTGTTCTGGAAACAGCAATTAAAAGTATTCTATGTCTTAGAGAAATCTATTAAAAGGTCTTTAAACTTTTATTTAAATTAAACCAAAATTTTATATTTAACCTAAGTAACGATTTGACATTTGTCCCTAGGGTTACTAAATTGAGGTAGAATTTCTGGAATTTATGTAGTTCATGTTTTTTGTATTATGGGTGCATGTTTAGTGGACTTGCTTGTCTACTATTGTATATTTATTAAAATCATTTGAACTGCAACTGTATTTTACAAACATGGTGTTGATTCTCATGATACCCTCTACAGAGAATAAATCAAAATTGAGCAGATCTATGCTGAAATGCTTGTGGGTGCTTTTTAGGAAGGAGAGAAGAACAAAGTAATTGTTTCTTAGAGAGGTCCTGACAAGCAACATAATTTGGGCTGAAAGCAAAATTGTAATTTAGCAGTCCTCTCTGAAAATGTAGTGTTAAATAGGTTAAGGCTAAGTAAAAAATACTGCTAAACTGAAAAGAACAAGGAGAGGAAGATGCCAATCAATAATGTTATGTTTTGGCTCTTATGTACCTGTAAAGGCTAGTAAAAAGCTATAATAGGAATTAGTCAAGAAATTACATTTTATCTTGTGATGTACCATGGACCATTCACAGTAAGTGATAAAATGTGTTAAATATCTTGAAAAACCTAGAATTGCCTTTTATTTTGAAACAGGCCTTTAACAAGTACAAAAGGGAAGGATTTTGTCTCCAGAATGTGGACAAGGCACCTCTTGCAAAAAGAAGGAAAATGAAAAAAACAAGTACAAGCACAGAGACACGTAGCAGCTCCAGTGAAAGTTCCCATTCTTCTTCCTCTCATTCTCATGGTAAAACTACCCCCACAAAGACATTGCAGCCCACAAACCCTACAGACAGCAATAACCCAGAAACCATCTTCCAGTTCTCCGACTGAGCAGCAGAATGTTTTGTCTCAAGGAGTTAAATGGTTACAGACTTGGCAGTACCTGTATTGTCTTCTCCTGCCCTTCCTCCTGTGGCTTACAGGCTGCCACAGGAAGACTTCTGTTGCTTTAGAAATGTATTTTAGTCATACCTTTTTAGCTCTGTATTTCCATACATTTCCTTCTAGCGTTGTATGGTATCACTGGATATAGTGTAATACTGTTATACAGCCAACATTGTATTCTCTGAGGGCTACGTTACTGGTGTGCAGCCAAGCTCCAGGTAAGTAGCTGTGCTGCTCATGGTACTGCTTGGAAGAAGACTGTTCCTCAGTGTCACAATCTTCCTCCCAGTTCCTTCCCTACTGCTCAAAGAAAGGAAAGCTCTGTAACATCGGTAGAACTTCGAGATCTTCTGCTCCTACCCAGCTCTGTGAAGAATATTGTAGAATTTGATTCTTCATGCATGTAAACAATCATTGGTACAATGCACCAAAGCAGTATAGTACTCTAAAGCCTTTTAAATTTATGGTTATGATCTGTCCCATTTATTTGAATTTTAAGATCAAAATGAAGCACTATGGAACTCCTACTTTGTTTAAAAAATATCTTGTTCTAAACAACAGAGAATAGAAGTCTTAGATTTTTTTTTTAATTTATTTATTTTTTTTAAACACTTCTAGGGTAAAAGATATCTGATAAGGTGATATGTCTATTACTGTGATACAATAACTTTTATTTTTTGAAGTTATTAGCTTCTAAAAGATTTTAAAGATTCTAAAATGTAGTGCTATAAGAGAAAATTAAATTTCATATTTGATTCTTTGGAAAATGGCCACATGTTAAAATACCTATTCCAAGATTTAATTATAATTTATATTTTCTTTTTATAATCACACAATAATTTTAAAATACTAAGATTTTTTAAAGATGAGAAAACTCCAGTTTCAGCATTTGTTTTTATAGGGTCCATAAAAATGCATACCAAGTTATTTGAATTTTGCATTGTGCAAATATGGCAGTCTAACAGTGACTGTAAAATATTAGAATATATAAGTTTTATTTTTTTGCACTTTATAACATCCAAACGAGATGTTTTGGAATAAAGTGCACTCAGATGTCTCTTCCTACAAGGTGCTGAGCACTGTTTTATGGGCTGAATGACTTGAAATCCACCATATTTGGTGGTTGTGGTCATAGTGAAGGAGAATTCTGTACTTTGCAGGAGTGAATCCCTGTATATTACCCACTGTTTTCATTCCTTACTGTAAAATGCAAAGCTCTTTCTATCTTGCTTTTACATTGTATATAACAAATACTAGACCTGGGCACCTTGTGTAGTGTAGATGTTAACAACTTATGCACTGGGAATACTAAAGGGAAATTATATTGAACACTGTGCTTCACGACTTGTTCACTGTGGTGTTCTACAGTGAAGTATTTCCTACTGTGATAGTATAGTATGTACATAACTGTTTGGAATCATAAATGTGACTTAGAGAAATATCAGCATAAACTTTTAAATCAGTATATTTTATAAATTTATGGAGAGCTCTTTTATAGCTTGTATTCTCAATGACTAGGGGTAACTTAAGTGCTAAAAATGACTCCAGTTTTGCAAATACTTACATGTGTAAGTTTCCACTGAAGTCAGAGAGGCTCCTTGTCATATGCCTAAATTTGTGTGATGGAAGACTAATTGACTAGAGGATTTTGTTAACAGCTGTCTCTATCCTAAAGTAACCTTAATCCAAACCCTATGCAAAAAAAAAAAAAGGTTATAGAAATTGTTTATATCAGTGATTTTATTTATAGAATTAAATCATATATCAGTATTGACAAATACAATAAATCCATGTTTACAGGGATTGTGTGTATCGAAACATGGCTTTGAAGCCCAACATGTTTGTTCTGTGTTTCTTTAATATTAATAATGGCATTCTGAGGTTTTGGAATTGCTCATGTGAAATAGTTTACTACTTTCTTGATGTGAATGTCAACAGTAATTGCAGCATTAATTTCAGGTTGATGTGAATATTGAGATTTGCACTGTTTATGTAGAAGTAGTATATTTAAAGATCAGTCTATGTGCTAATAACACAACCAATTTTAAGTGGCCTATGTTAAAGTATTGAAAAATAATTGTCAGTGTAATATATTCAGGTTTGCTTTCTGAATGCTCTCTTTGGAAGTAATCTCAATAGTGAACATGGCTCATTTGTAAAAGAATACTTTTTCTCTCCCAAATAAACTTGCTGTAAATACAACAAACAATCCACCATTCATACTCGTTACGCAGACAGTATCAGTGAATTGGGAGATTGGAAAACAGGTTGCTTATCAAGTTTGCACTTTGAGGAGTTCGTGGAACTTGTCTTCAGGATGAGGACAACAAAAAGCAATTTCAGTCTGATTTCATTTAAGTGTAATAAACTGTTGGATACCAGGTGGATTTGGAATATTGTGACCCAGCTGAAAGAACTTAAATGTTAGGAACACGGGATGTTAGGAAACGTTGTTTTCCTGTTGGAAAATTTAAACTGTTTCTTGACAAACTGATGAAACAACAAGAATGTTTGCACAAGATACTAAATGCTAGAGATAATGGCTGTCTTGTCAATCTTTTTTTCTGCACAGGTTTTGAGAGACTGTTGTGAGACAAAAAGTTATTAGAATACATCACTTGTATCAAAGACAACTTTTATAGCTGAATATTTCTGTGTCCTCTTTGTGCTCTCACGGTAGTTGTTTAATAAAAATTGAAACCCAGGGTATTTCTTTTGGGCAGGGCTAAGTACATTTAGGTGTCACCTTGTATTTGCTTTGAACCAGTTACCCAGGGTAGCTGAAATGCTTGACTGCCTGCTGCCTCCAGGTGAAAGAGCTCTCGAGGAAGTGGATTTGACACTAAACTGTCTGAATTTTTAGATTAGCATTACATAAGCAACTGCTGATGTACATACACATTGATACATTGAAACTTGAGTTGCAAACTAGGCAGCTCAAGATTAGGTTTACTTCTTGTTCTAATGTCCCTGCAGGAGAGTATTTACTCTTGGCGGAACAATGTTTTGATCTGTTGACCAGCCTGGAACTCAAGGTCATATAAAGACCCGTGGGCCATGTTTTTCTTACTCAGACCACTGTTTCAAATTTAAAGTGTACAAGTTAATCTTCATTAGTACTACAAATACTTTATATTGTCTTGGTGAAGAGATGCTACACTGTGAATTATGTGTATACTCAGATTAAGTTTTCTTCACAGTGCTGCTATGCCTCAATCAGCTTTAATGTCTGGTAATGAATCTGTCTGCTGTCAGAAATACAATGATGTCAGTGATGTTGTAGGCAGATTTGTGTGAAAAGTCAAATTTCTTAGGAGTAGAGATTTCAGTTAGTGTGGATTTTAATCTAATCTTCAAAGTACTCAGTATCTGGTAAAGCCATTTCTTTGTAATACTTTTAGAAACATGAATACTAGTATAGCAGGTAATTCTGCTAAAGGATTTAGAGAAGTACAAAGAAGAGTACATAACTTACAGTTCCTCTGGTTTAGTGAAATTTCTAGACTTTGAGGAAAAGAATTGGTGTATTTGGCATGTGCATTGTTTCCTGCTATTAAAAAACCCCTATTAAGTACTTCATTAAACAGCTGGGGGCAAGGGGGATCATGTACTGCATCACAGAATGGATTGAGGCTTCAAATTGGCTCTGCTAATGGAGATATTTTCTCAGCCCTTTTCCATGGCTACTTTTCTGAACAAAATAACAATTCCTACACAGCTGTATCCCTTCTCAGTCATCTGAGAACAGAATAATTCTCAGCAGAAAATGTGTTCATTGGTTATAATGAAATGTTGCACAAGCATTTTATAATCTGTGCATGTGTTGTCTGCATGCATGTAGATACATGCTGTATTGCATGTCTAGATCTCAATTTAAAGTAATATGCCTTGATTAAGAGAGCTTGCATTTTAAAAATGGGTTCTGGGCTCACACAGATTTGGAGGACCAGATAAGGCTGCCACAGAAGAGGAAGAAGGTTGTAGGAAGTCAGAGGTGAGAAGCTTCTGGGCAGATATTTTCAGGGGTAATTTTTCCCCTGGCTATCTCCATGTGCATGTATTATTCACTGGCAATGAATTGCAAGCTTTCTTGCCAGTTATCCAACATAAACATATTTCCTACCTCTGCAGGTCTCTGAGTATATGTGTGTGTGTAGCTTTATAACATTTACTTCATCATATTGAATTTATTTGTTATGTCTTGGGTATCATTCCAGGTGTTTTTACTAAATTAATGGTCTTTATTTCTTCCCCCATAAATGACAGTCTTTTTCAAAATACTGTTTTTACATGGCAAAACATACTATTGCCTTCCTTCAGTTGAGATAGTTGACTGAATATTCTGGATTGAGAGATCAGAATATAACATGGGTATTTCAGCTGTAAAGGGATAAAAGTGCTTTGATCTTTGTTTGCTAGTGAGAAACACTTCTCAGTTTGGTCCTTTATACCCACAAGGCACTGGATTCTCTAAAAGTAGAAGAAATTTGGAGCTGTTAACTAGCTTTCATCTGCCATCACACATTTTTTCTATCACATATTAAATAGATTCTGAATCTTCAGAACACCTGTGTACAAAAGAAAACTCAGACTGATTCCTGTAGTCTGCAGTAGAAAATGAAGTTATGCTTTCAATTACACAGACTAACTGAAACAGTCTCTTGTTTGTGGTGCCCAGAAACTGCACAATAGAGAAATGCAAGAGACCTGCAGTAATGTAAATTTCAAGAAAATATGTATTTTGACAACCTTCATGTTCTGTGTGACAGAAATGGAAGACAGCAACTGGCTGGGAAACATTTTAAAATGTTTAAGCAGAGATGTTATGGGCTGGTCTGACTAATACTTTATTCAGTGGTAGAAAGGAATCCATATTATTCACATGTAAAATTGCTTTTAAAAATTGGCAACCAATCTAACTGTATTCACAAGAATCATGCAGAAGTCTGCTAACTTCCTTTGAAATGCCAATAATAAAGGAAAGAAAAACATAACTCTTCTTTAATTGCTTCAGGAACTGCCAAAAAACCTAACAGATGAAAATGTAAATTGATTGCAAACTTCTTACAGCTTTCTTAATACAAAGATATTTGTCAACAAATCCAGCATCAAATCTTTAAATTGGTCTCATTTATGTTCACCTGATTTTCCCTAGTTGTTTTTTTATTTTGTTAAATGTGTAGTTGTCTTAGTATGATTATGACCAAAAGTATATTTGCATAAGCAGGAGGAAAAAAAAAAATCAAAGGATTTAGGATTAGGCCTTGTGAATAACCAAAATAAATCTGCTTGGAAAGGTAACCATTTCAAAATATGCATATATATTAATGGTATTTGTTGATAAAGCCATGTCTAGCCAAGTACATTTTATCTAAGTTATGGGTGGGATTTTGTGTGACATTCAACTATGCTAAAAAAGCTTTTAAGTTTAAAGTCTTTGGAGTTTAGGAAAGTAAGAAGAAAGGGGAAAATTTAAAGATGATGCTGCAGAGAGGGGACAATGCTTGAAGTTTGTCCCTGAGTTACTCGAGGTGACTGCTTACAGAGGTATCATTGTATGGTCTGCAGGAACTCAATAGTTCATATGCTTCTTTTCCTATAAAATTAATATACAGTGGAGAAGAAAAATTCACAAAAACAGCAGATACCTCAAAGCTTTTCTCAGGTGTCTCCTTAATGAGTTCTCATCTTTTAAGCAGATAACTCTGCTGACCTTAGCGGTTACTTGTGTTGAAGCTACAGATGCTTGAGGGAACAGGATCCCACTCTCTGGCTCACTGTAGAGGGATGCTACAAATCAGAGCTCAAGGTGCTGTGTCCCTGCTGCTTTGAAGTTCAAGTGTTCATACAATTCTGCTTAGTATGTATCACCATGTCAGCCCCATTGGTATGCAGCTGGGGCTGGTCAGTTCCATTTTTTAGTGCTGTCAAATTAAAGGAAGACTTGAGATCTACTTCAGGACCGAAGTGAGAACAGGCTTTGAATCTTAACATGCATCTGGATTACAAAAATTAATTAAAGTTTGGCATTGGCTTTCAATCTTGATAGTCTTAAGATGCTTCTGCAGCAAATGTGGATGCTTACAGATATCTTTACAGTATTGATCTCTTTCACCTGCAGAGAAAGAAACCTGCAAAATTGTTTCTTGCCAAATAAAAACTTTTGCTGGAGTCCTAGTAGAAGAAATCATCCCTAATTTCTACCTTTACCTTTGAAGCTATAAAGGCAAAAAATGAATTGGTGACAGATTCTGACAGCTGGTTATAAAGGAGCAGGCTGTGTTAATTTGCAGTGAGAGGAACAGGGCGTTCTATTTCATGTGTCAGTGTGGGCAGGGAGTGGGGAGAGGGAAAGAAATGGGAAGGAGGGAATGCTGAGTGCTTTGCCTCGCTGTATTTACAGGACATTCTGGTTGCACACCATTGCTTTTGAAGGACCAATGATTTCTATATTCAGTTAAAATCTTTTTGAATAAAAAAACCCCACACAGATTAACCTGACAACTTTTCTTCTTGGAAACAGTGCTGTTTTCAAGTGGCAAATACAGCATTGTGGACATTGATTCCTTATTTCCTTAATGCCAGTTATCAACAGATTACAGTGGAATTTTCTTTCTGACAAATACACACCTCTCTCAGTTCTTTGTCATGTCAACATGCAAAACCTTGTGATAGAATTTTATAAAAAAGCAAAGAAAATTTTATAAAAAAGAGAATTAATTGAATTGGGGGTTTTTTTGCCCAACATTCAGAAAATAAATGAGGATTCTTGGAGTGGGTCCAGAGGATTATTCTGAATGTGATGGGAAAAGTACTAGAAGAAAGGATAGTTTTGTGAATAAAGTGGTGAAGAAAATACAGGAAAGCTGTGCCCCAGAAGACTGCCCAGGACTTGTGGAACACTAGTGGAACCAGATGTCAGGTGAATGCTCCGGTCTCTAGAGCTGTTAAAGCCTAACCATGCTTTTTGGAAGGATGATAAGCCCAGCCTGTTGGCCAGTCCTGTCAGAGCCCAGGATTTGTGCCATGACCTGTTCAAAGGCACGTGATGAGCCCCAGGGGAGGCATTCTTTGTTTAAGACTATTTTGTACTAATTCTGGATCTGCTGATTTTTTAAAGACTTCTCTCCAGTTATTAACATAATTGAAACATCTAATTTAAATGCAGGATTTTTCATTCTTTCCAAACAGAACAAAAATAGTTGCTGAGCACTCCGTTGTCACCAGGTTTTTCTTGCCTCTGGATATAATGAACCGATGATGTTGCTGAGATTATTCGTTGTCATAGTATTCATACTAATCAATATTTTCTGTCAATGTTTTAAGGTACCTACAGGTTTAGAAATTTTCCGAAGCTGAATGTAGCTTTCGACTCCCTCTGGTGGTCTGGCAATGGAGCTGGCAAATAGTTTCTCTATCACTGACTGCAAATGTTTGAATGCTGTATGACATTGTATTTTATTTTTACCCTTAAAATAGGAATAGTCAAAAAAGATACATGGCTGGGTTTCTGTTTTGAAAAGTAGAGGCCTAATAACATGCAAAATCGTTGTATCTTTCTAAAAACATATAATTACTATTTTTAAAAAACCCATAATACTATTCTGGATGCTGTTTTCGTAAGTCAAAAGAATAGGAAAATGTCTTTGCCTCTGAGGTTCAATTTACTTAGGAAGATTTTCTTTTATGCGTTTAAGCTAGAGATTAAACTACAATCTGGATCACATCTAGAAT